ACATCCTTTAAAAATTCTGTTAAAATCTTAAAAATACCAAAAATAGCCATTATATTGGGGTCTATACGAAGACGGGGACCTGTATAGGCATCTTCTGTCATATGCCATTAAAATATTCAAATACGAAACTTAAAAAAAGAAAATCCGATGAATAATGTAGCTAAAATCATCAAAATATCGAATATAGGGAAGTACTGATATATGAGGCCTATACATAGACCACGACCGGCACAGAAAAATTTCAGTCATAGACTGTAGTTCCCTTTACGAACTCTAATTACGAAATGTGAAAAACTCCGGTGAAAAAAATGTTGCTAAAATCATGAAAATACCGAATATTGGGAGGTACCGTAGTACGAAGACGTGGGCCTGCATACGCAAATTTTGTCATATTCTGTAGTACCCATTACGAACTCTAAATACGACATATGACACAACTCCGGTGAAAAATGTCGCTAAAATCATCAAAATACCGAATACCTGCATACGCAATTTTTTGTCATAGGCTGTAGTACCCATTACGAACTCTAAATACGAAATTTGAAACAACTCCGGCGAATAATGTCACTAAAATCGCCAAAATATCGAATATCGGGGAGTACCGTAGTATGGAGGCTATACGAAATCGTGGGCCTACATACACAATTTTTTGTCATAGGCTGTAGTACCCATTACGAATTCTAAATACGAAATATGAAACAACTCCGGCGAATAATGTCACTAAAATCGCCAAAATATCGAATATCGGGGGGTACCGTCGTATGTGGGCTATACGATATTGTGGACCTATATAGACATTTCTCTTTCAGGGGGTAAATAGCTTGGAAAGAAACTTCTAGTAAGAGTTGTAGACAATTCCACTGAAAAATGTAGCTAAAATCATAAAAATACCAAAAGTAGGGAGGTACCTTTATTCGGGGGATATACGATATCGTTGACCTATATAGACAAAACCAGGTGGTAAAGTACTCAGAAGGAATCCCTTGTGTGGATTTTCAGATAATTTCATTGGAAAATGTGGCTAAAATCTTCAAAATATCGAATATCGGGGGTACCGTTGTACGGGGGCTATACGATATCGTAGACTTATATAGACATTTATCTTTCAGAGGGTAAATAGCTTGGAAAGAAACTTTTAGTATGGAGTTGTAGACAATTCCATTGAAAAATGTGGCTAAAATCATCAAAATACCGAATATGTGGGGGGTACCGTTGTATGGGGGCTATACGAAATCGTGGACTTATATTAACAATTCTCTTCCAGAGGGTAATGTGCTCAGAAAGAACTCCTTGTGTAAATTTTCTGACAATTTTATTGAAAAATGTGGCTAAAATCATCAAAATACCGAATATCGGAGGGTACCGTTGTATGGGGGCTATACGATATCGTGGACCTATGTGAGCAATTATCTTTCAGAGGGTAAAATACTCAAAAGGAACTCTTCGTGTTTATTTTTCAGACAATTTTATTAAAAAATGTGGCTAAAATCATCAAAATACCGAATATCGGAGGGTACCTTTGTATGGGGGCTATACCATATCGTGGACCTATATAAACAATTCTCTTTCAGAGGGTAAAGTACTCAGAATGAACTCCTTGTGTGAATTTTCAGAAAAGTCCATTGGAAAATGTGGCTAAAATCATGAAAATACCGAATATCGGGGGGTACCGTTGTATGGGGGATATACGATATCTTGGACCGATATAGCCCATCTTCGAGCCTGAGCAGCCTGCAGATAAAAGACTGATCTGTGCAAAATTTTAGCTTTCTTTCTTTAATGGTTTTGACTGTAGCGTTAGTACAACAGATGGACGGTCGGACAGGGCTAAATCGTCTTGGAATTTTACGCTGATCAAGAATATATATACCTTGTTATGTCTAAAATGATTATTTCGATGAGTCACAAACGGAATGACGATCTTAATATATCCTCAATACTATGCATGGAGGCTAACTGCCGTAGGACTAGTTGGTTTTCGTCAAGCGACGAAAGTCATAAAAGTCCTGCCCTCAACTTTCACCTAATATGAAATTCCTAACACACACACACACATATCGAAAAGTTTCCAGTCATGACTTAATTTATTGTCCCTCTACTATCTATCGTCCATGGGCGTAAAAGTTCAAATGTGACAACAAACAATAATAACACCAGCACTTTGGCCGGACACATCCACTCTGGCGGTGTCTGCTTTCATCGTAATGACCATTAATCTTGACTTTGGCTATTTTATCTCTAAATCAGGGCAAAATTGAAAATAAATCAAGTCCAAAAAAACAGAGAGAGAGAGAAACAAAAAATAAATTTAATTTCGTAATTTTCTCAATATCAGCCAAACAGATGTCAAAATAAATTTCTGGACCCAAAAGTGGCCAATGTCTGTCTGTCTGTCTGCCTGTCTAATAAAAAGAAATCTATGAGCCTAAATTATGATTTCTTTTTATTGTCGACACTTAATATTCATTACAGAGTCAAGTACTTGGTAATGTTCGAAGTAAATTGTCTCTCACTCTCTCTCTCTCTCTTTCTCTTTTCGCCGCCTAACAAGGCCATCTAACAATAAATAAAACAATTGACATTTTCTAAGTGGTCCAGAGGACAGTTTGTTCAATTTTATGGAGAAAAATGTCCATCAGACAATATGTTTTAATTAAAAATTTTATGAAGTTAATATTTTATTGGACGCAATTGATAATTCACTCAGTTGAAAGTGAGTTATTACAGGGGATGTTTAAGAGATGAGTGGCAGAGAGAGAGAGGGAGAGAGTTTTGTATAGTAGACAAAGGGAGAAGGTATAAAGTTATAAAAATAAGTAATTTATCGATTAGGAGAGTCACTAAACTATTAAAAAAGCAGTAAGTTCGGCCGAGCTGAAACTCGAATACTCTCCACCATTTGGAAAGAATTTGGAAATTTTCAAAAATATAAAATTCGTTAAAAATTCAATTAAAATGTTAAAAATACCAAATATAGCCCTTATATTGGGGTCTATACGAAGACGTAAAAAAAATCCTGTACATAATGTAGCAACAATGGTCAAAATACCGAATATCGGGAGGTACTGTTATATAGGGCCTATACGAAGACTTGTACCTACATCGACAATTTTCTGGCATACACTGTAGTTTCCCATTACGAACTCTAAATACGAAATTTTGAACAACTCCCGTAATTAATGTCGCTAAAATCATCAAAATAACGAATATTGGGAGGTACCGTAGTATGAAGGCTATGCGAAGAAGTGGGCCTGCATACGCAATTTTTTATCATAGCCTGTAGTACGCATTACGAATTCTAAATACGAAATTTGAAACAACTCCAGTGAATAATGTCGAATATCGGGGGGTACCGTTGTATGTGGGCTATACGATATTGTGGACCTATATAGACACTTCTCTTGAAGGGGTAAAGTGCTTGGAAAGAACTTCTAGTATGGATTTTTAGACCATTCCATTGAAAAATATAGCCAAAAGCATCAAAATATAGAGAGGTACCGTTATATGGGGGATATACCATATCGTGGACCTATATAGACAATTATTTTTAGGTGGTAAAGTAGTCACGAATAACTCCTTTTGTAGATTTTCGGACAATTCCATTAACAAATATGATTAAAATCATCAAAATACCGAATATCGAGGGTACCGTTACAAGGGGGCTATACGATATCGTGGACCGTTGCAAACGGAATGACGAACTTAATATACCCTCCATACCATACTTGTTTCTAGGAAAAATGCAGTCAGCCATTGTTCGCTCTAAATGAAGCGAGGAACCTCATTTTGTCACCATTCTTGGGTGGCGCGTGCTGAGTGCGATGGTGCTGAGTCCTGTTGGAATGTCCAAGGTCTGCGGCCAAAATGTTTGCGTGCCCAAGGCTTTAATACACCCTCCAGAATATTTTCGCTATAATATTCGGCATTTATTCTGATGCCACGGTCGATTAATACGAGCGGAGAGCGACCATCGGTTGTTATGGCGGCCCACACCATCAGCATGGCCGGCGCTTGAGTTCTGGTGGCCAACCGAAGGTGCACATTTTCAGCTGACCTTTTTGGCAAGAAAACACGATCATTTTCTTTGTTTACAAACTGCTGGGCAACGAGTGTTTTCTCATCGAAGAGGAGAAAACAAAATTCGGCAGTTCACCACTTTCGGCCAAGCGAAGCAACTCTTTACTAATTTTGAGTCTATTTTCTTTCTGTGGCGGTGTAAGTTCTTGCACTTTTTGGAACTTCAGTGGCTTTACCCCGAGCTCATTTTTAATATTTGCCGATTTGGAATATGTCCAGCTCACGAGCCACGAGCCATTTTTCGGCCACTGCGATGCGGGTTTCGATCAAGTCGCTTCTTTTAATAACTTTTTTCTGGAAAATTCTGACCAAAATGCTTTTGTTCGCTTGTAAACAATATTATGAGCTGTCACTGAAATAATTGTAACAGGTGTCGGACGAGTGGCTTAGAAATGACAGCAGTCTGAAATTGGTTGCAGTTTTTTCATCACACCCTGTATATGGGAGTTATACCTATATCTGAACCTATTTTCACTGAATGTGATGTACTTTCTTCTAGACTGAGTTTGGTCGGATGTGCCAAAATGCAGATCATTTGGACGGATATTTGCCATTTGGTGTAAAATTAACCCGAAATCGGTTGAAGATATCTATGGGAGCTATATCTAAATTCTAACCAATTCTCACAAATTTCAAAAGGGGTTGTCCTTGGGCCAATCAAATATTTTTTGGAAAAGTTCATCTCAATCCGATAATAAATGCGACCTGCATTTTGTTAAAAAAAAAAAAAATACATGGACAGTCGGACGGACATGCATAAATCGACTCAGAATGTTATTCTATGCTAATCATCAAAAGGAACTATCTCGTTTCCTTTTGCCTGTTACAAACAAATGCACAAATAGATAATACCCTAACCAACATGTGGTGTAGGATATAAACAGTTTAAAGAGACAACGAGAGAGAGAGATACTCATACTTACATATCACGTATGTTTTTTAGACCCCAAAATGCCTTTGGATGGATGTGCTCTATCACATTTCCATTTAAATCCCTGAAAAGAGAGAAAAGTAATTAAATTAAATGAAATGTCCAAGAATATCTAAAAAAGCAAATATTTGTTACAATTAATAAAAATTGCATTTTATTATTTTGTATCAATTTCTTTTCTATTTTTAAATTTGCAATTCATTAACTAATACCCGGCAAAAAAACAACTAGACGTTATAAAATTATTGACATTTTACAGATTGTCTTTTTTTTGTCTTCTGACACTGACACTCTTGTCTTGTGTTGAAACACTAATAAAATGACGATATTTTATGTAAATTGCAAAACATAAATTATTCTCCTCTCCCTTGGCGGAGAGTGAGAGCCAGAATGTGGCGAAAAGTACAGCAACAAAATACCCTATGTTGTGATGGCATTTTATTAAAAAAAAAGTAAATAAATTGGTTCATTATTTGTCGTTCCATCTTTTTTTTTGAGAGAGAGAGAGTGTGTGTGTGTGTTTGTGTGAAACAATGACGGTCGATATGTTGCCACAATTTATTGAATTTAAGAGAACAAATTATCTTCTCTGGCATTGAATTTGTACTCCACGTTTTGTCTATAAATATGAAAATAATGAGCTCTACTCCTCGGAGATGAGAAGCCACTTTAACGTATCATTGACTTAAAATGTCATAAATTATATTCCTTATGTTCGAATAAGAAAATATGTTTACGTATTTTTTTATATTGAATGTGGATAGTAAGATGATCAATAGTCTGAAGCGCTGAAATATGTGTCGGCGGGGACGATTTTTTAAAGCTTTAAGTAGCTAAATGGTAGTCGGTTGACAAAGTTTGGTTAATTTTGATAACGAAAATCATTTGGGCGCCATTTGACCATTTCATTTGTCAAAATTCCTTTTGTGATTATTTAAATTCAGAATGAGTGTAACAAGTAGATTATATTTTGAGCTTGGACATTCTGCCCTAGGTACTTTTCAGAGGACATCAATGCCAACTTATTAAATTCGAATAATATGTATGCTATTTTCAACTTACACCCTGGGTTATATTGCTAGAGAGGGTAAAGTGTGCCTCAGAAAAATAACGGTTTTAGACCCTAGTCTCTTTGGACCAAATCCGAATAATCTTAACAAAAGTCAAAATATATTTGGCTGAGGGTATACAGGGTTAGATGAAAAAACTGCAACCAATTTCAGACTGCTGGCATTTCTAAGCCTCGTCGTCCGGCAGCTTTTAAAATTATTCCGGCGACAGCTCATTATATTGTTTACAAGCGTACAAAAGCATTTTCGTGAGAACTTGCCAGAAAAAAAGTTATTCGTGATGGAATTCAAGCGTGATAGAGATGTGATTTCTTTATATTTGGCTGGAAAACCACAAGTGGCTATCGTTAGGGCACTCCAGCATTTAACTGTGAAAAAATCTTTTGTGGCTCGTACCATTGCTCGTTACCGTGATGCTGGTAACATACCTTCACGTGAAGTAAGTCGACGGAAGAAAACAGCAACGTCAGCAAAAATGGTTCGAAAAGTAAAGAAGCGAGTTAATCGAAACCCGTGTCGCAGTGGCCGAAAAATGGCTCTTGGATCGTGAGCTGAAAATATCCCAATATTCCATTCGGCAAATATTGAAAAATGAGCTCCGGGTAAAGCAATTGAAAATCCAAAAAGTTCAGGAACTTACACCGTAGCAGAAAGAAACTAGACTCAAAAGAGCTAAAGAGTTGCTTCGCTTGATCGGAAGTGATGAACTGCTGAATTTGGGTTTCTCTCTCCTCCAGATGAGAAAACATTCGTTGTCCAGCAGATTGTAAACAGACAAAATGATCGTGTTTACTTTCCAAAAAGGTCAGCTGAAAATTTGGACCTTCGGTTGCCCACCATAACTCAAGCGCCGGCCATGGTGGAGATATGGGCCATCATAACAGCAGATGGACGCTCTCTGCTCGTATTAATCGACCGTGGCATCAGAATAAATGCCGAATATTATAGCGAAAATATTCTGGAGGGTGTATTTGAAGGCCATAATTCGTGCCAAAGGTGACCAATTCGAACAAATCTAAACTTATTCTAAAATTTGATGCTATTTTCGATTTTTTTTCCTTCATTCAAAAAGAAAGAAGGTCTTCTGGCTATAGAAGGGCTTCAGTATGTCGTCCAGCTGTAGAAGAGCTTTAGAAGGTCTTCTAGCTGCAGAAGAGCTTCAGAAGGTCTTCTGGCTATAGAAGAGCTTCAGAAGGTCTTCCGGCTATAGAAGAGCTTCAGAAGGTCTTCTGACTGTAGAAGAGCTTCAGAAGGTCTTCTGGCTGTAGAAGAGCTTCAGAATGTCTTCTGGCTGTAGAAGAGCCTCAGAAGGTTTTCTGGCTATAGAAGAGCTTCAGAAGGTCTTCTGGCTATAGAAGAGCTTCAGAAGGTCTTCCAGCTCTGAAAGAGCTTCAGAAGGTCTTCTGGCTATAGAAGAGCTTCAGAAGGTCTTCTGGCTGCAGAAGAGCTTCAGAAGGTTTTCTGGCTATAGAAGAGCTTCAGAAGGTCTTCTGGCTATAGAAGAGCTTCAGAAGGTCTTCTGGCTATAGAATAGCTTCAGAAGGTCTTCTGGCTATAGAATAGCTTCAGAAGGTCTTCTGGCTATAGAATAGCTTCAGAAGGTCTTCTAGCTATAGAAAAGCTTCAGAAGGTCTTCAGGCTATAGAAGAGCTGTAGACGGTCTTCTGGCTATAGAAGAGCTTCAGAAGGTCTTCTGGCTATAGAAGAGCTTCAGAAGGTCTTCTGGCTATAGAAGAGCTTCAGAAGGTCTTCTGGCTATAGAAGAGCTTCAGAAGGTCTTCTGGCTATAGAAGAGCTTCAGAAGGTCTTCTGGCTATAGAACAGCTTCAGAAGGTCTTCTGGCTATAGAAGAGCTTCAGAAGGTATTCTAGCTACAGGGAGCGACATTTCCAACGAAAATGTATAAACAAACTTACATACTTTCTCCTCTCTTCCTTCTTCCTTCTCTCTTTTTCTTACTCTCTCTCTATCTCTCTCTTTACCACTACTAATGCGGGAAAGATTTAGCATTTCAATACTTACAACAAATGCAAATTATCCAGTTGAGTAAAAGTTCTTTCGCCAATGTATGCAATTTTATTGAAATCCAGAAGACTTTCAAGGCAGTCAGACATCCCCAGTCAGCAGCCATTCAGTTATCATTTGGATGACATTATTGTTTTATGATAATTTCACAAAAATAGAAATATGAGAGAAAGAATGAATAAAAAATATGAAAAATATTTAAGAACCAATGCAACAGAAGACGTAACATTTCCAGTGAAATATGGAAAATAAATGGAAATGGAAATTCTTTTTTCGCTTACAATTCATAGAGTAACGGCATCCTTGGAAATATTTCACCATCCAATGTCAACAGGTTATCGCTGAGGGCCAACCATTCGAGGGTTTGTAGATTTGTCGACAACTCCCGGCTAGGTAACTTCCTCAGGCGGTTGGAACTTAAAAATAACCACAGAACAGAGGTAAGACCATAAAATGCACCATCCGCTATTGAACTTATGCTATTATAACGTATATCAAGTCTCTCCAGATTGGTGAGATTTTCGAAAACGCCCACCGGTATCAGTTGTATATTATTGTACTTTAGTTTTCTATTAAAAACATTTTGAATACAATTTTGAAAAATTAAAACAAATGGTTTTCGGTTTCTACTTACAATATTTGTAAATTTGTATTGGATGCAAATGCCCCCCTGTGTAGGGTTATATTATTATGAACTATTATTAGGGTTTCGACCTGGAAATGAAAAAAAACAAGGATTTGATAAGTTTTTACTATTATGATAAGATCTAACCTATAGAAGAGCTTCTGAAAGGTCTCCTGACCTTTAAAGAGCTTTTGAAGGTCTTCTAGCTATAGAAGAGCTTCAGAAAGGCCTCCTGGCTATAGAAAAACTTCAGAAGGTCTTCTAGCTATAGAAGAGCTTAAAAAGTCTTCCAGCTATAGAAGAGCTTCAGAAGGTCTTCTGGCCATAGAAGAGCTTCAGAAGGTCTTCTGGCCATAGAAGAGCTTCAGAAGGTCTTCTGGCCATAGAAGAGCTTCAGAAGGTCTTCTGGCCATAGAAGAGCTTCAGAAGGTCTTCTGGCCATAGAAGAGCTTCAGAAGGTCTTCTGGCCATAGAAGAGCTTCAGAAGGTCTTCTGGCCATAGAAGAGCCTCAGAAGGTCTTCTGGCAACAGAAGAGCTTCAGAAGGTCTTCTGGCCATAGAAGAGCTTCAGAAGGTCTTCTGGCCATAGAAAGCTTCAGAAGGTCTTCTGGCTATAGAAGAGCTTCAGAAGGTCTTGTGGCTATAGAAGAGCTTCAGAAGGTCTTTTGGCTATAGTAGAGCTTCAGATGCTCTTCTGGGTATAGAAGAGCTTCGGAAGGTCATCTGGTCGTAGAAGAGCTTCAGAAGGTCTTTTGGCTATAGTAGAGCTTCAGATGCTCTTCTGGGTATAGAAGAGCTCTAGATGCTCTTCTGGGCTATAGAAGAGCTCTAGATGCTCTTCTGGGCTGTAGAAGAGCTTCCGAAGGTCCTCTGGGTATAGAAGAGCTTCAGAAGGTCTTCTGGCTATAGAAGAGCTTCAGAAGGTCTTCTGGCCATAGAAGTGGCTATAGAAGAGCTCTTGTGGCTATAGAAGAGCTCTAGATGCTCTTCTGGCTATAGAAGAACTTCAGAAGGTCTTCTGAAGCTCTAGAAGGTCTTGTGGCTATAGAAGAGCTCTAGATGCTCTTCTGGCTATAGAAGAGCTCTAGATGCTCTTCTCGCTATAGAAGAGCTCTAGATGCTCTTCTCGCTATAGAAGAGCTCTAGCTGCTCTTCTCGCTATAGAAGAGCTCTAGCTGCTCTTCTAGGCTATAGAAGAGCTCTAGCTGCTCTTCTAGGCTATAGAAGAGCTCTAGCTGCTCTTCTAGGCTATAGAAGAGCTCTAGCTGCTCTTCTAGGCTATAGAAGAGCTCTAGCTGCTCTTCTAGGCTATAGAAGAGCTCTAGCTGCTCTTCTAGGCTATAGAAGAGCTCTAGCTGCTCTTCTAGGCTAAAGAAGAGCTCTAGCTGCTCTTCTAGGCTAAAGAAGAGCTCTAGCTGCTCTTCTAGGCTAAAGAAGAGCTCTAGCTGCTCTTCTAGGCTATAGAAGAGCTCTAGCTGCTCTTCTAGGCTATAGAAGAGCTCTAGCTGCTCTTCTAGGCTATAGAAGAGCTCGAGCTGCTCTTCTAGGCTATAGAAGAGCTCGAGCTGCTCTTCTAGGCTATAGAAGAGCTCGAGCTGCTCTTCTAGGCTATAGAAGAGCTCGAGCTGCTCTTCTAGGCTATAGAAGAGCTCTAGCTGCTCTTCTAGGCTTCTGCGGACTGGGATGTCATAAAACACACAATAAGGATGCGTAACATATCAGGATACCTGATCAATATTATCGATAGCTACCTGGAAAATAAAACTCTGTTGTATGATACAGAAGAGGGTATCAAGCACTATAAAATAACATCTGGGGTCCCTCAAGGTTCCATCTTGGGTCCCTTCCTGTGGAACCTCATGTATGATGGCTTGCTAAACATAATATTGCCAAAAGGCGCAAAAATAGTTGGGTATGCTGACGATATAGCTCTTATCGTCGACCAACCATCAACAGAACTAGTCGAAATTACAGCAAACGACAGTTTGTCAAGGATCTCAAGGTGGCTTGTATCTAAAAAGCTATCCCTTGCCCCCCATAAAACTGAGGCGATTCTCATAACTCGAAGGAGAAATTTTAATCTTCCAAAGCTATTAGTTGACGGATATGATATTAAAATAGAAAACTCACTAAAATATCTAGGAGTAATTCTCGACAATAGGTTGTCTTTTACACAACACGTCAAAACAGTATCTGAGAAAGCAGTTAGAACTGCAAACAAGCTAGTTAGAATAATGCCCAACATTAATGGCCCAAACCAACTAACCAGGAGATTAATTGCTTCTGTAGCGTACGCTCAAGTTACGTATGCCGCACCAATCCTAAGCGATGTCATAGCAAGAAGCAAGAATTTACGTGGGCACCTAGAAAAGGTGCACCGTTTGTGTGCATTACGAATTGCATCCGCTTATCGCACTACGTCCACAGCAGCGTTGGGTATCCTAGCTGGAGTGCCTCCTATTACTCTAACGTTAGACGAAAGGAGATACATATATGAAAAGAGAAAATTATTACCAATCGGATACACAAAAAGAGATGTGTCTCAAATAAAACGACAAGCCAGAGATATACTATTTGCACAGTGGCAATCTATATGGAATAACTGTGAAAAAGGTAGATGGACTTTCAAGATAATACCTCAATTGGAAAGGTGGATAAATAGAAAACATGGAGAACTAAATTTCTATTTAACTCAAGTTCTCAGTAGCCATGGAAACTTCGGTAGTTACCTATATCGCTTTCATTTAAAAAATGAAGCAACCTGTGAAATATGTCACGAAAGCGAAGACAACGTGGAACACACACTTTTCTGGTGCAAACGCTGGGAGAACGAAAGAAGCGTCTATAATATATCGACTCAATGGTCCGTTGAGGATCTAGTTAAAAACATGTTGGAAAGTAAGGAAAGATGGTCGCAGTGCTCAATGTTCATTGAAAAAGTATTGACCGAAAAGGTGAAGTACCTGAACAGATATGAATCGAACCCCTAATCACAATCGAATGGACGGGGGAATAGAAATAAGCTGAAAGCCGTATGATCGGTTCACGAACACCACCTCGAAGTAATGCGAAAGCGGTCCCGGGTGGTTGTTCCGGTGTAGGACCACTATTGGTAGTGCGCTATCATTACGTCCAAAAAAAAAAAAAAAAAAAGGCTATAGAAGAGCTCTAGCTGCTCTTCTAGGCTATAGAAGAGCTCTAGCTGCTCTTCTAGGCTATAGAAGAGCTCTAGCTGCTCTTCTAGGCTATAGAAGAGCTCTAGCTGCTCTTCTAGGCTATAGAAGAGCTCTAGAGGCTCTTCTCGCTATAGAAGAGCTCTAGAGGCTCTTCTAGGCTATAGAAGAGCTCTAGCTGCTCTTCTAGGCTATAGAAGAGCTCTAGCTGCTCTTTTAGGCTATAGAAGAGCTCTAGCTGCTCTCCTGGCTATGGAAGACCTCTAGATTCTCTTTTAGCTCCAAAGGAGTATCAGGAGGTCTTCTTGATGCGGAAGAGCTTCAGGAGGTCTGAAGAACCTTCTCTTATATGAAGAGAATAACTTTTGAAGCTTTTCTATAGTTTTTTTTTTTAATTTAAAAAACTTACCTCTTCACTTATTTGCGGAATGCGCGTTAAGGATGCCTTAACGTTACAGTAAAGTTTAGTTTTACTGCAGATACATTTTTTGGGATATGTTGAGATTTCTGAAATGGAACACAAACAGAAAAAATTACCTTTCTCAAAACTGTTATCATGGGACAATTCTTAAAATTATTTGAAGTCCAGGTTGAGTCAAAGGCATGCATAAATTTGTCACTCCTTGTCTACTTTCATTTTCTTCTTTAATGGACCACAAATGTCCTTTTACTTCAAGCATTAATACTAATTATTGCCAACCTCACGTATAAGTAATGACAAAACGTATACGCCAGCGGTTACTAACCTCAGAATATTTCCAACCTACACAAAACTTTAAAATACTGGGTCATACTCCTTTCTTGTTCTGTTTTTTATTCTCTTTCAGACTTAAATAAGAATTAAAAGTCATAATAAAATAAAGAGGAATACTAAAAGAAATCTACAGAGAAAGAACTATGTGGCTGGAAAATAGTCAAGGAATTTAGGCTGGCCACAAACTATTCTCCCCCCCCCACACTTACTTACCACAAATGGTTGTGATATTAAGACGTTGCTGGGCCTTGTTGTATTTTGCCAGTTGTTGTCGTTGTTGTTGTTTTTGCTGTAGTTCATGTTGATATTTGTTGTCTGTTTCTTGGGTCTTGGTAAAATTTAAATCCTTGTGAATGAGTTCTATGTCCATTGACGAAGATGGCGTAGTCGTCGTCACATTTTCTCCCACATCCAAGGAGCCCACATTTTGTTGCAACTTCTGCCGCTGCCGTTCTATAATTTTACCGGTCATTTGTTTGCTGCCATAGACCATGCCGCACTCGACGGGATGTTCGTCGCTGCCATCGATACAGTTGGGATATTTGTCACATATCTGTCGTTGCGGCACACACAGCGTTCCATTGTCGCAGGCAAATGTGCCACTGGGACAGGGACCTAGAAAAAGTGGAGAGGAAAGAAAAATAGAAACATCAATAAATTGTTGAAATAAAATGTTGCGGCGACATATTTAACTAAATAATTTAAGAATCTGGGAAATTTCAAAAAGTAACCACCACCACCACCATTTCGACCATAAATTGTTGGGACATGCCATTTGGTGTGTCGAGCAGTTATCGAAGATTATTAACCAGTTAACACCATGTAAATTGTGGCTGTAAATGGAAGGATGATCCTAGAGTTTGTGGTAATTCAAATTGAAAATTTATTGGATAGGAAAAAAGATTATTTAACTTAAATCGATTATGTGAGAGAAATGAGAGCTAAAAGAGAAAAGCTCTCAGAGTAAGTCAGTGATAGATGTAACGATTTTTTTTTTTGTTAACATTTAAGGAGTTATGGCCATTTTAAAATATGCTATTTTTCCTCATTAATTATCTCAACACAAAACATAGCTAAAAACCCCGAAATGTCAATATTTAAGGAGTTATGGCCATTTTAAAATATGCTATTTTTCCTCATTAATTATCTCAACACAAAATATAGCTAAAAACCCCGAAGTGTCAATATTCAAGGAGTTATGGCCATTGTAAAATATGCCATTGTTCCTCATTAAATATCTGGTCACAAAACATAGCTAAAAACCCCGAAATGTCAATATTTAAGGAGTTATGGCCATTTTAAAATATGCTATTTTTCCTCATTAATTATCTCAACACAAAACATAGCTAAAAACCCCGAAATGTCAATATTTAAGGAGTTATGGCCATTTTAAAATATGCTATTTTTCCTCATTAATTATCTCAACAAAAAACATAGCTAAAAACCCCGATATGTCAATATTTAAGGAGTTATGGCCATTTTAAATTAAGCTATTTTTCCTCATTAAATATCTGATCACAAAACATAGCTAAAAACCCCGAAATGTCAATATTTAAGGAGTTATGGCCATTTTAAAATATGCTATTTTTCCTCATCAAATATCTGATCACAAAACATAGCTAAAAACCCCGAAATGTCAATATTTAAGGAGTTATGGCCATTTTAAAATATGCTATTTTTCCTCATTAATTATCTCAACAAAAAACATAGCTAAATACCCCGAAATGTCAATATTTAAGGAGTTATGGCCATTTTAAATTAAGCTATTTTTCCTCATTAAATATCTGATCACAAAACATAGCTAAAAACCCCGAAATGTCAATATTTAAGGAGTTATGGCCATTTTAAAATATGCTATTTTTCCTCATCAAATATCTGATCACAAAACATAGCTAAAAACCCCGAAATGTCAATATTTAAGGAGTTATGGCCATTTTAAAATATGCTAACTTTCCTCATTAATTATCTCAACACAAAACATAGCTAAAAACCCCGAAATGTCAATATTTAAGGAGTTATGGCCATTTTAAAATATGCTATTTTTCCTCATTAATTATCTCAACACAAAACATAGCTAAAAACCCCGAAATGTCAATATTTAAGGAGTTATGGCCATTTTAAATTAAGCTATTTTTCCTCATCAAATATCTGATCACAAAACATAGCTAAAAACCCCGAAATGTCAATATTTAAGGAGTTATGGCCATTTTAAATTAAGCTATTTTTCCTCATTAAATATCTGATCACAAAACATAGCTAAAAACCCCGAAATGTCAATATTTAAGGAGTTATGGCCATTTTAAAATATGCTATTTTTCCTCATTAATTATCTAAACACAAAACATAGCTAAAAACCCCGAAATGTCAATATTTAAGGAGTTATGGCCATTTTAAAATATGCTATTTTTCCTCATTAATTATCTCAACACAAAACATAGCTAAAAACCCCGAAATGTCAATATTTAAGGAGTTATGGCCATTTTAAATTAAGCTATTTTTCCTCATTAAATATCTGATCACAAAACATAGCTAAAAACCCCGAAATGTCAATATTTAAGGAGTTATGGCCATTTTAAAATATGCTATTTTTCCTCATTAATTATCTCAACACAAAACATAGCTAAAAACCCCGAAATGTCAATATTTAAGGAGTTATGGCCATTTTAAAATATGCTATTTTTCCTCATTAATTATCTCAACAAAAAACATAGCTAAAAACCCCGAAATGTCAATATTTAAGGAGTTATGGCCATTTTAAATTAAGCTATTTTTCCTCATTAAATATCTGATCACAAAACATAGCTAAAAACCCCGAAATGTCAATATTTAAGGAGTTATGGCCATTTTAAAATATGCTATTTTTCCTCATCAAATATCTGATCACAAAACATAGCTAAAAACCCCGAAATGTCAATATTTAAGGAGTTATGGCCATTTTAAAATATGCTATTTTTCCTCATTAATTATCTCAACACAAAACATAGCTAAAAACCCCGAAATGTCAATATTTAAGGAGTTATGGCCATTTTAAAATATGCTATTTTTCCTCATTAATTATCTCAACACAAAACATAGCTAAAAACCCCGAAATGTCAATATTTAAGGAGTTATGGCCATTTTAAATTAAGCTATTTTTCCTCATTAAATATCTGATCACAAAACATAGCTAAAAACCCCGAAATGTCAATATTTAAGGAGTTATGGCCATTTTAAAATATGCTATTTTTCCTCATCAAATATCTGATCACAAAACATAGCTAAAAACCCCGAAATGTCAATATTTAAGGAGTTATGGCCATTTTAAAATATGCTATTTTTCCTCATTAATTATCTCAACACAAAACATAGCTAAAAACCCCGAAATGTCAATATTTAAGGAGTTATGGCCATTTTAAATTAAGCTATTTTTCCTCATTAAATATCTGATCACAAAACATAGCTAAAAACCCCGAAATGTCAATATTTAAGGAGTTATGGCCATTTTAAAATATGCTATTTTTCCTCATCAAATATCTGATCACAAAACATAGCTAAAAACCCCGAAATGTCAATATTTAAGGAGTTATGGCCATTTTAAAATATGCTAATTTTCCTCATTAATTATCTCAACACAAAACATAGCTAAAAACCCCGAAATGTCAATATTTAAGGAGTTATGGCCATTTTAAAATATGCTATTTTTCCTCATTAATTATCTCAACACAAAACATAGCTAAAAACCCCGAAATGTCAATATTTAAGGAGTTATGGCCATTTTAAAATATGCTATTTTTCCTCATTAATTATCTCAACACAAAACATAGCTAAAAACCCCGAAATGTCAATATTTAAGGAGTTATGGCCATTTTAAATTAAGCTATTTTTCCTCATTAAATATCTGATCACAAAACATAGCTAAAAACCCCGAAATGTCAATATTTAAGGAGTTATGGCCATTTTAAAATATGCTATTTTTCCTCATTAATTATCTCAACACAAAACATAGCTAAAAACCCCGAAATGTCAATATTTAAGGAGTTATGGCCATTTTAAATTAAGCTATTTTTCCTCATTAAATATCTGATCACAAAACATAGCTAAAAACCCCGAAATGTCAATATTTAAGGAGTTATGGCCATTTTAAAATATGCTATTTTTCCTCATTAATTATCTAAACACAAAACATAGCTAAAAACCCCGAAATGTCAATATTTAAGGAGTTATGGCCATTTTAAAATATGCTATTTTTCCTCATTAATTATCTCAACACAAAACATAGCTAAAAACCCCGAAATGTCAATATTTAAGGAGTTATGGCCATTTTAAATTAAGCTATTTTTCCTCATTAAATATCTGATCACAAAACATAGCTAAAAACCCCGAAATGTCAATATTTAAGGAGTTATGGCCATTTTAAAATATGCTATTTTTCCTCATTAATTATCTCAACACAAAACATAGCTAAAAACCCCGAAATGTCAATATTTAAGGAGTTATGGCCATTTTAAAATATGCTATTTTTCCTCATTAATTATCTCAACAAAAAACATAGCTAAAAACCCCGAAATGTCAATATTTAAGGAGTTATGGCCATTTTAAATTAAGCTATTTTTCCTCATTAAATATCTGATCACAAAACATAGCTAAAAACCCCGAAATGTCAATATTTAAGGAGTTATGGCCATTTTAAAATATGCTATTTTTCCTCATCAAATATCTGATCACAAAACATAGCTAAAAACACCGAAATGTCAATATTTAAGGAGTTATGGCCATTTTAAAATATGCTATTTTTCCTCATTAATTATCTCAACACAAAACATAGCTAAAAACCCCGAAATGTCAATATTTAAGGAGTTATGGCCATTTTAAAATATGCTATTTTTCCTCATTAATTATCTCAACACAAAACATAGCTAAAAACCCCGAAATGTCAATATTTAAGGAGTTATGGCCATTTTAAATTAAGCTATTTTTCCTCATTAAATATCTGATCACAAAACATAGCTAAAAACCCCGAAATGTCAATATTTAAGGAGTTATGGCCATTTTAAAATATGCTATTTTTCCTCATTAATTATCTCAACACAAAACATAGCTAAAAACCCCGAAATGTCAATATTTAAGGAGTTATGGCCATTTTAAAATATGCTATTTTTCCTCATTAATTATCTCAACACAAAACATAGCTAAAAACCCCGAAATGTCAATATTTAAGGAGTTATGGCCATTTTAAATTAAGCTATTTTTCCTCATTAAATATCTGATCACAAAACATAGCTAAAAACCCCGAAATGTCAATATTTAAGGAGTTATGGCCATTTTAAATTAAGCTATTTTTCCTCATTAAATATCTGATCACAAAACATAGCTAAAAACCCCGAAATGTCAATATTTAAGGAGTTATGGCCATTTTAAAATATGCTATTTTTCCTCATTAATTATCTCAACACAAAACATAGCTAAAAACCCCGAAATGTCAATATTTAAGGAGTTATGGCCATTTTAAATTAAGCTATTTTTCCTCATTAAATATCTGATCACAAAACATAGCTAAAAACCCCGAAATGTCAATATTTAAGGAGTTATGGCCATTTTAAAATATGCTATTTTTCCTCATCAAATATCTGATCACA